CCACTAACGCTAAATGATCTACTCCTGTTGACCCATTCCACTTCAGAGCAACTTCTTTTCGTATTTCCTTACCCATTCCTACATAGGAAATCTTCTCCCCGACATTTTCGACCAAATTCAACATCCTTTCCACTTGGTTACTCTCGTGGAATAGTGTTACTCCCGAGATGAGGTCGTTGATGGCTGTTCCCCATGGCGTCTCGTCTTGTCCACAGCTGTCACAATCGCGGTGTCCATGGCGACCTTTGTTGATTCAAGGTAATTCCATTCATATGTCCAGTGACATAGAGTGATATCCGGTGACACACAAGCACGCTTCAGCATATTGAACGCCATCTGACGAACGAAGAACTAGAGGCTTCTCTGGGAGGCTCAAATGACCCCCATCATCTCACTAGACTAAATGGGGGAGCTCTTGTAGGAAGATCTCAAGGAGCGAACGATTGGGTAAGAGGAGAACCATAAGGAGGGTCGATAATCCGTCAATCGTTGCAGGTCAAGTGTATCACATCCGGAGGTGAACTGCCACTGCGCACCCAAAACAAACAATAACTGTCTAATGTGACGTGGTTTTCAGCGAAAGTAAGCCTGGATAAGTGGTCATGGCCGATGGTTACTCAGCCAGTCAATCAATACCGTATTACCGTATCGGGTTGCCTTACTGTAGCTTTAATGACTACTCTGGTAATCGAAGAGGTTGGTGGAAAGGAGCTAATATTTCCCCTATGTCGAATGAACTCGTTTGAGGGGAATACCAATTCTGCTTCAGAAAACACCTGCCTCAAACGATCCCGGGAATTACTTTACCTATAGCCGCCTGAATTACTATGTACGCTAATGGACTCAAGCCCCTTGACACAAGTGCATCTCCGGCAATAAATCCGCGATCCGCGCCTTCACTCATCCTCCTCCTCCTCCTCCTCCTCCTCAATTCAACGTCAAATTGTCAACCCTTTCACTAATGAAACGACATAGCCGCCCAGCTATAGGCAATTTCTGAATGCTTTCTGCCGAAGAGCAGCAATGAACAGAAAATCGGGTGAGATAGCGGCAGGAGAATGACGGCTTTCCACGGCTACGCGGCGAGACCATAAAGCCATAGAAAAAAACGTGGACGAATGAGGTTGACCTTATGACTATGCAATGAAGAAAAACTCCGGGCACGTACACTGCGGTTTCGCGATACGTTCCTCAGCCTGTTTTCTTTGAATGAGGGTCTTACGGTAGCTGGAAGGGCTCTTTTAGGGTGGGGTTGAGGTCAAAAATTGAACCCAAAAGGACCGCTGTCTTGTTCAACCTGAGTCAATTTCTTATCTGTGAGATGTTCAATCTACGGGGCTCCTTTCATCCGAGATCGAAAGGGTTTCTGTAGCCTCCCCTGGATGGTTTACCTGTTTTGAGTCTGGCATGAAGCAATGTTTTTAGATAGCATTCGCTTAGAAGGGTTAACTAGCCAGCTGGTTCTGGCTTACAAAATTCCTCCCCAGTCAACGTGTGGCAAGTTTGACTGAGTTTATTTTCCATCAGTAGTATCAATTAGAAAAAAGAGTCATACGGGTGGGAAAACTATTACAAAAAACTCAACAGGAGCACACGATTACTACGGGCCATTGGAAATTCAACACAACTTCCTCTTCACTGCAGCCATGACTACAACCCCCCCCCCTCAACTGAAGCCCTGCTGTCGTTCACCCTCAAACACCCATCGAGACGCAAGCCTACCCCAACGTCACTATTGGCATTAAAGCAGCGAATGAGACAGAGGAAGAAGTGGGGGCGTCATCAGAAACAGAAATAACCCTGCCTTCCCCAAAAAGACTCACATCGTCACATTAGTGAGCAGACCTCACTCGGCAAGCCAGAGTGACTCCTTGAACAAAAACTCAAACCACCCTGCCAGTATCTAATACGCCCAGAGATATTCCTCAGACACTTATAGGCCCTTATAAGGGTACCCCCTCGGGAAAGGCGCTCAGGGTCGCGGAATCCCATTTTGCCAGGCGGTGTCAGTCCTACCCTTCTCGGAGATTTATCGTGCCAACTGCCTTCAACTGTACACCTTATCCTTCTAGAGCGCTCCTTTTGAGCCGATCAACATCCCTCTCCAGAGGTTTGTTGGAGAATGAGAACTGTCTTCTCCTATAGGTGGCCTTTCCAAGACCATACAATCCACAAGAGAAGGCTCTTGAAAGTATACCATTTCAGCCTTGCGATGTTTGGACCATGGCCAGGTGGACATCCACCCCAAGTTGCCTTGGGAGACACTTTACCCTATAGACAACTATGTCCCCAAAGGTTAATATCAGTTCAATTACCTAACTAGCTTTGACTCTGGAGCCTACCTGGCCTTACTTGGATCTGTACAGCGCCGCAGTTCGTCCTTGGCAGCTTCCGGAAATTGCAGTAGCACTCCTTTCAATTTCTATTCAAATTGTAATTCCGAACCAATTGCACCCTCAGAAGTACTCGTTGGAATTAGTAAATTAAGAATAGAAATATAAGTAGAGTTAAGTGATTTTTCCTGATTTTTTTTGTTCCCGTTCTGACCCCGTCGCCCTTCCCCCTCCTCACACCCTCCTGCTGCAGTTATGATCATCTGGCCAGTCCGGCACACTCGATTGCAATCTGGGAGCATATCCACTCAGTGTGGCGCAAATCAAATTCGCCGTCAAATCATAGTCCTCGCTATCTGCCTCCTAGTACTCAAGTAAACCACTCATTCAGCCCTCATAAGGGACCTAACGATCCTGTTCCAGCCCCACGTCTCAGCCCCTTAAACGGCTTAGTCGCGTATATTTTGGACAGCTGCCGTTTTTCAGATATCACTGATGCATCTAATCCCATTATACACATAAGAAGTATCTGCGCATCCACAGCCCTACGATCCCTCGTGTCAGCGGTCGTTTGTACCAGTTAACCTCCGTGTCACACATGCTATTTCTCAACGGTTACAGCTGATCTCCATATGGTGGCCACTTCGACACGAGTCGAAGAAACACTATTGTGTCCCTAGTTTTTGAGCAGAAAGTTCGTCGGACAGCGCTCTTTGAACGTCCCGACTCTTCCTAAGCCACTCACTAAGGCATGCATAGATAGGAGATGGACAAGGCTGATAGCACGACGGAATTCATCCATTTCGGAAGAAACCCCTTGAATCCATTGGGAGACTTCTCTTCCCGTGCCAACTGTCCATAAATTCGATAAGGGAGCGATTCGATTTGATGAAGATGAGCAGGAAAGTGTGACGAGAGGATGAACTGATGAATTACCCTTTCATTTGGCCGACTCGGCACGATCTGCTCGATTCAAAGCCTTTCAACGTCAGCGCTGATTAGCATATGTTCAGGCCATTCATGCACAGCATCGTACATTATCAATTATGGAGCCGTTCATAACCGTTGCACCAGGCTGAATGTACAGGACAATGGGGTTACGAGGCAGTGTTCCGGTGTCAGCAGCCGCTGAGGATTATAACTATTCCAGGAGTACAAGAACATCAG